ACTATGTAGACATAAAAAAGGATGAGTTCATGTCCCTTTCAAGGGCATGGATGAAGCTGGAAACCATCATTCTCAGCAGAGTAACACAAGAACAGAAAACCAAATACCGCGTGTTCCCACTCATAAGTGGGAGCTGAACGATGATAACACATGGACACAGGAAGGGAAACATCACATACCGGAACCTGTTGGGGTTGAGGGGATAGGGGAGGGATAGCATTAGGAGAAATACCTAATGTATTTCTGACGGGCTGATGGGTACAGCAAATCAACATGGCATTTATATACCTATGTAACAAACCTGCACATTCTGCACATGTGTCTCAAAACTTAAAGTATAATAATAATAAAAAGGAAACAAAATAATTAAGATTATAAAAAACAGGGACTTACTAGAAATGAAGGACATTCCACTAATGAACATTTTCTAAGGGTGAGGGTAGTAAATAATTTCAATTATGTGAAAAAAATTGCTATATTTTAAGAAATGTGTGCTGTGTTTCTGGGGGTAAATGAGTAGCTTCCTCTGGAGAGCTTGGAGGGGGGTTTCTGAGTCTTCACCAACAGTAAAGTCGTCTTGACAACAGTCCTGGAAAGGTTGCTGCTACACACATTTTTGGTATTAAAAACACTAGTATTTGGCATTAGCAAAAAGTGAAACAAAAGAAAAAATTGAGATACCTGTCACTGGAGCAAATCACTACATGACTCATATTTGTATTCTGTAACAAAAAAAGACACACAATGATGTTTACTGAGACCCTGTGATGTGTCAGTCCTTGCACTAGGTACACTACAGACACTATACAGCCCTGTGACAAGGTGGTATTATCTGTATTTTTAGAAAATGAAGAAATTGAGTCTTGGAAAAGGTAAGAAACTAGCCTAGCCTAGTTGCTCATCGATATGTGCAAACAGCTTCATTTTGTATAATATATGTTTTATTTTTGTTTGCAAGCTAGATTTATTTGGTTGTGTTTTTAATCGCAATGACTAAAATTTGTGCTGCTAGTCTTCTGGGGGTCATTACTCACTTTGAGATATATTACAGTAGCTGAACTTTTTTTTTGAGACGGAGTTTCGCTCTTGTTACCCAGGCTGGAGTGCAATGGCACAATCTTGGCTCACCGCAACATCCACCTCCTGGGTTCAGGCAATTCTCCTGCCTCAGCCTCCTGAGTAGCTGGGATTACAGGCATGTGCCACCATGCCCAGCTAATTTTTTTGTATTTTTAGTAGAGACGGGGTTTCACCATGTTGACCAGGATGGTCTCGATCTCTTGACCTCGTGATCCACCCGCCTCGGCCTCCCAAAGTGCTGGGATTACAGTCTTGAGCCACCGCGCCCGGCCCTTGAACTTTTACACTGCTAAATGAAAACCACTGTGCCTGTTGTAGGGGAGGGAGAAAATCTTTTTTCCTCTATCCACCTTAGATTTTTCAGCAGGGGCCCTATATGTTAGATCACCAAAGACAGATTGTATTTCCATGTTCATCACAGATACACATGGGAGCACCCAGTGATGAGTAACCCAAAGGAGTGGTTAGAACTTGGCCTTATATATGGTCTTAGGATAATCAAAGGAAAAGGGGTTCAGGGATTCTGTATGGGAATGACAAGTTATGGAAAGATGACCAGGAAAATTACTGTAAATAAGAATTGTTCAGTAAGGTTTGTTGTGCAGATTGAAGTCAGTAACTTCTTTGTTGATAAGAGCTAAGAGTCCTCTTCTTCCTGGTCCAGGAGAGCAAGAGACCTTTTACAAAAAGAAATTATGAAAATTTTCTTTATAAATGTAATTGTTCTTTACAAAAGGAGAACAGTACCCTGTATTTAGAGTTATTTCTGCATCTGCTGGTTCTCAATGGCTTTTAGGTCAAAATGATCCATGTGCTAAGGAGGCATATTTTGGAGTGGCTATTCTGGTACCCTCCCTGCCTTGTTTTTTTATAGTAGTTATGTAACAGAGGCAAATCCCTTCCTCCTTCCTGGGTCCATTAAGCTGAACTGAGAGGCTGATGGATACTTAAAATTTTAACATGTTTTCTTAACTATGTATTCCTTGTCTTTAAATGTTTACTAAAATCAATAAATTCTCTGTTCACCAAAATTACATTTTCATTATTCAGTGTTTGACCACAAAGCTCCTGAGGGCCCAAGGACAGGGCCTGCTTGAAAAAGAGCTCAGAGGAGCCTGACTAGAGTTTGGTCTGGAAGAGAATCTTTGTCGTGCCAATGACTCAGAAGATTGTAGATGGTCACAGTTGAAAGAGATCTCAAAGGTGATCACTCTTAAGTGACAGAAAAAAAAAAAAGCCACCTCACATACTTCAAGCCCCACATAACACTCCCTTGGGGGTTGTGAGAAATGTGATTCTATATCTGAGAGTGTGTGAGCAGCCTTAAATGCTGGCTACCTGGAGAGCAACTCTGGCCTTTCTTCATATTGCTCATCATTCAGCTGGCTCGGCTCTGATCATTTCTGGATTCTGCGGAGGGGAGCTGCAGGAGAGGAACTGCAGGAGACTGGCCTGGATCTTCCTGGGCTGTGGAGGAAAACAGCCTTGGATTAATCCACATACCAGACATGAGAAAATGTGCAAGGAGGTGGGAAGAGGGAGAAGAGGTCTGGCTGGCTGGAGCTTACAAGTAGCCATGCTGTTCGCTCTACTTAGGGTGAGGAAAACGTTTTATGAAACAAATGTATTTGCTAACAAATTTTAATTCAACGTAGACATTTTAATTTAGTATGTAAATATATAGAAGACATAGGGAATAATAAATAGTAAATAATATGTAGTAAAAATAGTAAATAATAACAAACCTTTTCCAGGTTGATTAACCCTTAACTCAACTCACCTTTTTTAAAAAAAATAACTTTTATTTTGGATTTAGCAGGTACACGTGTAGGTTTGTTACATGGGTATATTGCATGATGCTGAGGTTTGGGATACAGATGATCTCATCACCCAGGTAATGAGCATAGTATCTAACAGGTAGTTTTTTAGCCCATTCTCCATTCCCCCAGCCCCCTTCTAGTTGTCCCCAAAGTTTGTGGTTCCTATCTTTAGGCCTAAGGATACTCAATACCTAACTCACTTGTGAGAAGAACTTGTGGTATTTGTTTTTCTGCTCCTGCGTTAATTCATTTTGGATAATGGCCTCCAGTTGCATTCATGTTGCTGCAAAGGACACGATTTTCTTCTTTTTTATAGCTATTAATACATAGTATTCCATGGTGTATATGTACCACATTTTTAAAATCCAGCCTACCACTGGTGGACACCTAGTTAAGTGACCTTTAAAATGGTGTCCATTTCCCTAAGCTTTATAGGATAACAATTCAACAATTTTTGAAAACACCTGATTTAGTGAGTTTGTCTCCAAATGATAAATGTCTGTAGAACAGAATTTCATGTGTCTTATTATTTTTAATGATCATGTTTGAAATGAAACATATCAAGTTAGATGTACCATTTAATTTGAGATTATTTTAATTTTAGGATTTTTGTTCTCCATTCAATTGTTGGAAGCATTTTGAAAACATTGGACTTTCAGAAAGATTAAGGATTTACACCTCCCTATAGTAATAAATATTCTTTGCAGTTTTAAAGCTCAAGTGTCCATGTCTGTTGGAGTTTGTGTTAGGCTACAAAAGACTGGAGTTTATAACCTGGATTCTGAAAGGACACTGTAGCAACATTAGGTTGCTAAGCAAGTCTCTTGGCTAATTAAACAATGTGCCTTGAATTATTCTGACTGCCTGTGCTGCTCAGTTGTAATGAAGCAATTAAAAATGACACTCACTTTTAGGTTTGTTAAGACTTAAATTAGAAGTAAATGAAAGTAGAGACATACTATGTTTAATAATTAAAAAAAGAAAATAAAAAACAAAAATATAGTTGTATGAAAAACATTCAAAACAACCTAACAACCTAATGTTCAATAAAATGGAATACTTAACTAACTTATAACATACTGTATGAAGTATTATGCAGGCAGACCAATTGAGGGTTTGTACACAATATAACAAATATTATATCTCAGTCAGATTGTAAATCATAGCTCTGTCTTTTATGCAAATCAGCAGACATAGGCACAGCTTAACATATTCCTTTCATAAGCATTTTCATCCTGTTATTGTTTTTCAAAATAAAATTGAGCCCAAAGGAAGCCTATTTAGCTTATCCAGATTATAATTAATTTAGCCACTTGGGTGTATTAGAAAATGGGAGTTAGACCCTCTAATGAGAGCTGTAAAGCATGGTCCTTGACCAGGACCCAGACTATTCAAATAGTTTATTTTTCTGGTCAGAGTTACTCCAATGATTAAAAGCAAAGACAGGTGTTGGGGGTAGGCACTAAATGAGTAAATATATAGCCAAGGAGCAGTTTCAAGCCTGACAACTGCATCCTGTTATGTGTTTCAGTTATGCAATCTTGACAAGAGCCCTTGTAAGAATCCATTTTTTATCTCCTGCTAATTTTTATCCTACCTATATGTTATTTTTTCCACCTACTTTTTAGAAATCTGCTTCTGGAATAGAAAATTATATTTCTATAGGCACTTAGCCATGGGGTACTTGATTTTAATTCCACTAATTATATTTGGAGGGAAAAGAAAATCTCTGTAAACAACAAGTCAACTAGTATTTGTGGTTTAGACCATTGTATCTTTATTTGATCAAGTCTTAATCTTTTTCCTTTGGCCATCCCATCTGATGTTTTAATTTTTACGTCAACATTTAATGACTATTGTTGATTCTCAAGCATATTTTACTTCCTGGTCCTTGAAGCTTCAATGATGTGAACAAACTTAAAAAATATCCAGAATCATTACTTGTTTTGTAAAAGAGGATTGTGTCAGAATATTTTATGTAGACAGTAAAACTCTCCAAGCTGCCTCCCTGGAATTCAAAAGCTTTAGCATCATAAAGACTCAGAGTGTGCTTTTCTGCATTTAGCTCAATGCACCCTTTTCTCTTGTCTTTTTATTCAGCTGGAATGCTTGCTGATTCTTCTGCACACTTCTGAGGCTGAGAACCTGAGGATCCCACCTGGAAAATGCCTTCTGAACGCTGCCTCAGGTATGCCCTGCAGGGTATGTCCCTGCATAGTGTAGTGAGCCCTGAAATAGGTGCATTGCATGTTCCAGGATCAAGCACAGAGCAGGGGCTTAATGCATATTCGAAGGAATCAACAAACTAGTTATAGTTTTTGTGAATTTACTATGGTAGCACAAGGATTAACTGCTGTGACCTAGGTATTTGTCAAACCTAAATATGTTTCCTGCTTCTGTGAATGATACTACTTTTTAATCTTTTTTTCTTATTTAGGATGCTAATTTCCCTTAAACAAAATGCTACTATAAAGGTATATGATTTTAAAAAAGAATCAGAACATTGTACATATGTGTGTGTGTATATATATATATATATATACACACACACATATATATATATACACACACACACACATATACAAACACACACACACACACATATACAGTTATAGATATCCAAAGAAAGAGAGAGCCCCTTTTAAAGCAATCACTTTGGGGAGTACAATGCTTATTCTCAAAATGGTGACAACATTTCTTTTTAATAATTCGTTTATTTAATAGATATTAATTAAGCCAAGCACTTTGCTTGGTGCTGAGGACCCAGCTATGAATAAAGTAGATAAGCTCCATCCATCTTAAAAAGGGAAAGCAGACATTAAATAAGTACACCAGTAATGATGCAAAAATAATCGTGAAAGTGCTCCAAAGGAAAAGCACAGGATAGACAGAGCAAGCAAATACCTACCTGAGAAAGGTTCTATACCTGAGACTTGAAGGGGAACATGCCCTGAGGCAGGAAGGAGCTTGGCACATTCCAGAAACTGAGGGGCAGACAATGAGAAAATGCATGGCATTCGTTTGAATAGTCTCACTTGGATGTAAATCTGCATCATCATCTGAGGGATCAGTCAAAATATCTTCAGAGCAAATAATAAGAGAGATGATAAACCTGGAGAATACATTTTTCTTAAGAATTGACTGTCTGTAAAGTAATGAGACCAGCTTCTTCCCATGACTCTGAAGTTATTAGAGGTGATTTTTTCCAGAAATGTGTTGAGAAATGGTGACATTGCTATAGCAGGTGTAACGCATCTGCATTCCCCATGTGAGTCTGTTGCTCTCAATCAGTGATTCACAATGGGGGATGATTTTGCCATCAGGGTATGTTGTGCAATATCTGACAATGTTTTTGGATGTCACTGGGAGTGTGGGTACAATTGGCATCTACTGGGTAGAGGCCAGGAATCCTTTTAAACATCTTGCAATGCATAGGGCAGTGCCCCACAGCAAGAAAACAAACAAAAACCACATCTAGCCCAGAATATCAGTAATACTGAGGCTGAGAAACGCTGCTCTAGACCTGGCATCCAACTAATACAGCACATGGAGACCATGGTGTCTGTCTGCCACCACCTCAGCCAAGTTATTTATTTCTGGCTACCAGGATCAGTGTGCATACTTAAAATAAGTTTTTATTTTTAAGTCTGCCATCCCTGTTCTTATTAATCAACTCCCATCCCACGGTCATCTGTGTTCCACAGTGCAATCATCTGTGTAATGTTGTCTCCTTCTCTGCTTCAACCCAGAGCCCTCCCTTCCCCACCTCGCAGACTCTCTCGCTGTGCCATGTGGAATTATCACAACACAACCACATGCTGTGCTGTATCATCTCCTTGTCCTGAAAAGCTCTGTTCGCCTCTGACTTCACCGAGACCCATTCTCCTCTAAGGACTATTTCCTTTGTAGTTCTCTCAAAGTAGTGGCATTATTATTTCCTCACATCTCATGTATTTCAGGGATGGGTAGAGAGAATGTCATCATCCTAGGGCATGATTTTGCTTCTAAACCGTTACTCCACAGATTGATTGTCTGAGAAAGCCACAGCCACAGAAACAGCAAAGACATGCTCTTCTGAAGGTGGTGCTCTTTATCTCTCTCAGGCTCTCCTCTTCCTAACTGTGGTTGGGGCCATTGTCCTATATTTACTGAACACTTCAGCACCTGGCTTGCAGTCTTCCTTCTCATCATAAACTCTTTACTAAACTCCCAGGGCCCTCAATGTCAGCATGGAGGATGTGTCTTCTTCATGGTCCTTGGACCCTCAATTTGCTTATCTCCAAAGACCTTCTTCTCCCTGCACTTAGCTGCCCAGTTTCACGGCCACACCTCGGACCTTGTCATTTTCAGTTAATTGCTCTAATTCTGAAATCACACCTTCAGCCAGTTTACTCTTATCACATTCTCCTCTCCTAGCTTGCTGATTTACCCCTGCTATGGCTGTACTTTGACCTCATTGTAGTGTCTCATTTACTGGCCCTGCCATTTTCTACCAACCCATCCAGCCTTTCTTTTCCTCATTTTCCTTCTTAACCAGTTTAGATTCTATCACTGTTACTAAACCCTTAAGTTCTCTCATTTCCTGTATTTTTGATACATTTGCTTGAGAAAACCCCAATCCAGATGAATCAAGCTATTCATATTTCCATGCCTACATTGTCTAGTAGAGACTAGTTCCACAAAAGTCTTTAGATTCAACAAGCCAAAAAGTATCCAGAGTTTTAGTGTATGTTTCTGGTCCACTGATTCCCTGCCACTCAAGAGGCAATCCTTTCCCACAACTAAACCCAAACCTGCTTCTGTGCTTTGAATTGATCTTTCATATCTTCTCAGTAACCTCTGACTGTTGGTTGACTGTATCTCAGCTATGTTGTTGAGATACAGCTGTGTTGTCACTTTCCCTATGCAGATGAGTCACAGATTTACATCTCTAGCTAAGACTCCTTTCTGAGCTCCAGATCCATGAATCAAACTACATATTTGACATCTGTGCTTGGATATCTTAAAGACAACTCAAACTTTACATGTCCCAAACCAAATTCATCATCATTCTCTTCTACAATTCTAATCCTCTTTCATTGGTTTCCTATTCTGGAAATATCAAGTTGTATAAGCCAGAAATGTAGGCGTCTTTCTGGAAATCTTCTTCCCACTCATCTCCATATATAATCCTACCACCAAGACCTGTAGATTTTCCCTCTAAATAGCTCCTAATCCCATTCACCTTTCTGAAGTTCCATCCAGCCCCAACTCCATCACACACCTGAACCACAGCCACAGTCCAGGTCTGCTCTAGTCTGGCCCGGTCTCCCCTACTGCTCTTGGTACTGCAGCTTCAGTAACCTTTTCTGTGACTTCACATTGCCATTAGGATAACCCAGCCCAGAATTCCTGCACAAATGTGCTTAGGCCTCTGCTACTCGGGCCTTATCTGCACCATGTTCTCCTTTGTCCCTAGCTGTTAACATTCTGTAAACACTCTGTAAGGGCCGTGCGCCCTCCTGCCACAGGATCATAGCATTTGCTGTTCTCCTGCCTTGGAAAACCTTCTTTCCTTTTTCCCAGATTAACTTGTTCTCATCCTTCAGCCAGCAGCTCAAGTGTTACTTCTTTAGAGAGGCCAGATTATCTGATTAATGTATAACTGCCCCACTAAACTGTATGTTCCATGAGGGCTGCTACCACATATGGTTTCCTCACCATTTTCTCCCCTGTACCCAGCACAACACCTGGCACAGGCTTAATAAATATTTGTTGGGTAAATAAATGAAGGAAAGAAGGAAACAAAACTCTGCATTTATAATTAAGTTTTTTTTACAGTTTTTATTATTTAATAATTGTATCTTCTTTACTTATTAATATGGCCATTGCTATTAATTGATCAAATTCATTTTAAAGTATTTATAAATTATAAAGTGTTCTATAAAAAATAAAATTATTTTATTATAGGGTTTTTTAGTAGCTTGCCACCCTAAATAGAATTTTAAAAATATTAATGTCTTTAATTTTTATGAAAATATTTTGACTGCATAATTTAAGTGATTAAGACACTTACTTGATAGTTCACCAAGAGACTGAATTGAGATAATTATGCATAATTATTACTGTCAGATTTTTTTGTCCAGTCTTTGTCTTTCTTGTGTAAAGTAGCCTACTTAAGAAATGAGAATCTTTATGCTACTTGGTTGTTTTCGGTATGTAAGTATGTAACACCTTATTGGTAGTCTTACTTAAAAACTACTGCATATTTTTTGTATACCTAGGTTGCAGGTAAACATTGACATAGAAGTTGACTTGAATTTTAAAATTTGAAATGCAGATGCTTAAAACCATATTGCTGTTTTTGGAATTTACAGCTCTAAAACTGACTGAACTCAGTCAAAATTCTTTCTATGAACATCAAACCCTATAGGATTTCTGTGACCAAAAATGTTAACTCTACAACCTCAAAGTAGCAATTTGCACTAAAGCAGTGATTCCGTATCAGTAGGGCACATGATATTATGAACATTGTTCTCTGCATTTGATTTATTAGTTTTGGTAATCAATTCCAGAATGAAAGTTAAAGGCTTAAAGTTATGAATAATCCTCTTTTCTGAGCTGTCATTTATTTATCTCTCCATTACTGGATATTGACATATCGCTGATCAAATCGTTGTTCCCTGGCATTGCTAAAAAGCAATCTACTGCCCAGGAAGTCTGGGGCTTTCCACTGTTGCACAAGGGTCTATGTGGGGCCCTATGAAATACAGGAACAGCAGTTTGCACAGGCAACCTGACAGGGGTTACCTAAAGCCCTTATAGTGTTCAGGAGGACAAAACAGAGGAACATATCCCCCTGGGAACTTGTAGAATATTCAATAGAACCATAATGGGAAGCATATTTATAATTTAAAGTTTCAGAAAGCCATATTAAAATAGGTAAAATTAATTTTTTTTTGAGACAGAATTTCAGTCTTATTGCCCAGGCTGGAGTACAGTGGTGTAATCTCAGCTCACTGCAACCTCCACCCCCCAGGTTCAAGCTGTTTTCCTGCCTCAGCCTTTTGAGTAGCTGGAATTAAAGGCGTGTGCCACCATGCCTGGCTAATTTTTGTATTTTTTTTAGTAGAGACAGAGTTTAATCATGTTGGCCAGGCCGGTCTCAAACTCCTGACCTCAGATGATCTGCCTATCTCAGCCTCCCTAAGTGCTGGGATTACAGGCGTGAGCCACCACGCCCTTCCCTAAAAAAGGTAAAATTAATTTTAACAATATATTTTATTTTACCCAACATATCCTAGATATTATAATTTAAACATGTAATCAATACAGAAATATTGAGCTATTTTGCTTTCTTTTATTCATATTGTGTTTAACATCCATTGTGCATTTCACATGCATGGTACATCTCAATTTGGACTGGCCATATTTCAAGTGCTTAGTGACCACATGTGGTTAGTGTGTACTATATTGGTGCATCTCTACAACAGAGTATTGCTGTAGTATCGATAAAATACAATACAATAGAGTATTACTACAGTATTAATATCGTGTATTCTCTTTTGTATTGATGCAGTTCTAGGGCATCCCTCAGAGAAATGGGTTGCATTGGGGAAGGCAGAACACTCTCTATACTCACGGATGAATTTTGAGGTGGCACCATTGCTTCTGTGGGAGACGTTTTCCAGTTTTAGGATGACATTCAGATCTGTGTTCCTTTGAGAAATATGGCTCCTGCTTTCAGTCTTTTCTCCAGCAATTTAGAAGCTTTAGGGTATACTTTTTCTTCCTTTTTCTTTATTTCTCAGAAAATTGAGGGCCATTGCTATAAGTTGAGAGGCTTAGTTTGCTTATTTGATATATGTTTTAGATGCTGAGGAGCTGTTTGTAAGCATGTGTCTGCTCCCCATTTTAATGTAGGCATGGTGTATAATAGCCTTTGATTTATCTCCTCCCTGGTTTATGATTGTTAACTTGGTGAAGTGGGCCTTTTCCTTTCCAGCTATGTTCTGTGGCCACGTGTGCCTTAACGTTTAGAGGACTGAGATATTTTACAAATTTACACCAGAGTTGAGTGGGAAGTTACTTTCAAAATACAATAATGATTTGTTGATTAAGAGGCCTTTATTTCTTGCCAAATGTTGGAGTATTTGTTTCTGCTTTTAAGGATCCCTAACATATTGGTTCAAAAATATTTGGGATCTTGTGCCAACTGTTGTCTTAAATATTTAGCTTGTTGTTTTCTTTAAGCTTGAATATTTCAAACCCAGTTGAATGATCCTGTGAAATTGTGCAGCATCACTATTGTTTCAAAGATGAGCCTTTTATTCTTTGCCAAATCTCAGTTTACAGCTGCTCTTTCCCTGGCAAGATTTATTCACCCTCAATAGACATATAAAAGGCAAATACAGATTCAGTCTTAATAATAAGGACAGGAATTGTGGCACTATATTTGGAAAATGAATAAGGAAACATTTTAAGGCAATTATCTTAATATATTCTTCTGTTCCACTATAAATGAAATTTTGAAATACGTTTATTTAACATTTAAGGTGATATAAAAGGGGAAAAATAAGTTATGAAAGTTTCAAATATATTTTCTAAGGTTATAATAATTAGAATCTATTTTCTATCCCAAAACTTTCAGTCACAGTATGAGGATAAGTGTTTTTGAAGCATAATTTCAAACGTTTCTTACTGTTATGCCATTCTGTTCATGTATGTTATTCCAAAAGGCTGATTTTTAGATTCATTATACGTAATATAAATATAAAGTTAATAGGGACTTTTGTGATTTTTTTCCCCCTCAAGCAGAGATTCTTCAGATTTTCCCAGATTATTATTATTATTTGGAGACTGACTCTCACTCTGGTGCCCAGGCTGGAGTGCAGTGGCATGATCCTGGCTCACTGCAACCTCTGCCTCCTGGATTCAAGCAATTCTTCTGCCTCAATCTCCTGAGTAGGTAGGATTGCAGGTGTGCATCACCATGCCTGGCTAATTTTTGTATTTTTAGTAGAGATAGAGTTTCACTATACTGGCCAGGCTGGTATCAAACTCCTTACCTCAAGTGATCCACCTGCCTCAGCCTCCCAAAATGCCGAGATTATAGGCGTGAGCCATGGTGCCTGCCCCCACCCCCCACCTTTTTTTTTTTTTTCTTTAAGCAGGAGGAGGAATTACATTATTATATTCTTGGTGATATGTTCTCAAAATACCTGATCTTGGACCTTCAGTTTTCCTATCTGTAAAATAGAGATAATAATAGTACCTGCCTCACAGGGTTGTTATTGTATAGATTCCATGAGTTAGACATTGTAAATCACTAAGAATAGTTCGTGGGACATGGTAAGCGCTATGTATTTGTCAAATATATTAGAAAATTATCCTTTTAGGAAAGATTTTTCAAAGATTCTCCTAAAGCTTTACTTGGCTGATACAGTGTTTCTGTTACTATTCTGTTTCTTGATTTGAGATGCTAATTAATTGAATGATGCTAATTAATCTCCATTCTAGGCTTTGCATAGAAACTTGCAAAAAATTATTTATGCTTGTGAATGCGGTTTTGAATTACTGATTTTAAAGTCTGCCTATAGCTTGAGCTACTAGATGAATATTCAATGACAGTAACCATTTCAAAACTCGCTGCTACATTTCAACTGAAAATAATCCTCCCACCTTCCCACAGGAACTTCCTATATCATCACCGTCTGTCAAGTTTTTTTATTTGCATATTTCTGACATTTCTGATGCTTTTCAGTCAAAACTGTCCAATAAAGCTTAATGACTGCATCCTGGCATTTCACAGGAAGTATTTGGCTAATTTTAAGAGGGTAATTTGTACCTAACTGTAATTTACCAACCAACTGGCACCACAGGCTGAGCAGAGCCCTGTCATATAAACCTACCATGCAGACTAGGCTGGTGGCAACTCTGGCTTCTCTGAGAAACTCTTTCACACTCTCTTGAGTATGATAGGGGTTGAATACAGGAATTACCAATATGGGAGAGATAATGTTCAATCATCCCTATGGTATCTTTACTCAGCTTTGAGATGGGCTGCTGGGCAGAAACAGGGCTTGATGGCCCTTGCTTTCACTCTGGGAGTAACCTATTCCTGTCAGATCACTGTCTAGTTCAATACCAGTTCTGAGATCTTAGAGCACTGTGTAGATTCCCATTGATCTAAGATGGAAATGTCCAAAGCTCTCTGTAAAGGGAAAGTCTGCATTTTGTGTTTGTGGCATTACTTCTGTATTATTGTATTTGCATTTTGTGTTTATGGTATTACTTCTGTATTATTGTAGAATGATCTAGAGCTTCCTTCACCTGGGAGTTTTAAAGGATATAAGCATAAATGTTTTCTGTTGGGGTAGAGAGTGAAGGGGTAAGTTTCACAATGGGTAAGATTAGCAATCTCACAAAAGAGAAACAAAAAGAAAATTATATAGTCATTCATATATCTAGTATAATGATCACACATAGACATTGAAGACTGATAATATAGATAAATCTTACTTTCAGTTTAAATTTGTTTTCATTTACAATGTATTCCTTTTGATGTTCTTAGGGTGCATAATTTCCTGAGCTTAATACTAAGCTTCTCTGGTTTAATTGTCTTTTACATGGAATGGTCACTTGCAGCGCTTTTTGTCCTAACATTTGCTCAGTTTTTTCGTATGTGTTAACAGAGTCTTGTGTCCTGTGGGAGACATGGTAAGGTACAAAGGTGGAGAAGGAATCAGGGAATTAGAGAGAGGGGACAGAATGGGGAAGGTCACACACACACATATACACATGCCCACACACACATCCAGAGGAAGTTTTGCACTCAGCGATGTTCATATACTGAGGGGTGGGGCCCAGGAACAGAGGCTCTCAGGTCTGGAGGCCTGGGTCAGTATGCAGTCACAGATGAACACACACACACACACAAATGCAGAAAGAGAAGCACTAGTAAAAGAGAGAAAGACCCTGCAGGGGAGCAGAGAGAATAAGAAAAAGGGAAAGCAAGAGAATGATGGAGAGAAAGAAAATGAGGGAACAGAAGGTCACACTCAGAGTGCAGTGGAAACTGTGTTGCCTCAGTTGATGTTCAAGGAGCAAGGGAGCGGCTGGGCCACAGGGCTGGTAAAAAGAAAAACGTTGACTTGATTGCTCTCCTTTGTAGTATTCAAGAAATGCTGACAGGCCAGAGGCTCTGCCACTCTGAATCTCACAATGACAGTGTCCTGGCAGCGCTGAATCAGCAGAGGAATGACGGCATCCTCTGCGACATCACCCTGATTGCTGATGAACAGAAATTCCATGCTCACAAGGCAGTCCTAGCAGCATGCAGCGACTATTTCCGGGTAAGTCAGCATACTTTATTTGTTTCTCTTAAAATATCAATAAAGAGAGGATGACAATGTTTCCCAAACTGTCACTAAACCACGAGCCAGTTAGGTGGTACCCCCAGAGCTGAATGGTGGAGGCCTTTGTTCTTGTCCTGGGGTGCCATTAGGTCCTCTCTGGGTTGGCACCTGGATGTCCCTCCAATAGGAAGCAGACCTCTCCTGGCATGTGAGCCAAGGAGCACTTGGCACTTTACCACCATGAGAAAATGTGGCACTATGGTGCTCCATGTGGGGGTACAGACAGGGGTGAGAGGATGCTTCTGGATTCAGGATCAAAGATCAAGCTATAAGACAATTTGTTAAAATTTAGAAGTCTTTACACGTAGTGTTTCTGAGTTTTTATATATATTCCTATTTATTTTATTTTATTTTATTTTATTTATTTTATTTTATTTTATTTTATTGTGACAGTGTCTTGCTCTTTAATCCAGGATGGAGTGCAAAGGCACAATCCCTGCTCACTGCAACCTCTGCCTTCTGGGTTCAAGTGATTCTCCTGCCTCAGCCTCCAGAGTAGCAGTGATTGCAGGCACACACCACCATACCTGACTAATTTTTGTATTTTTAGTAGACAAAGGGTCTCACAATGTTGGCCAGGCTGGTCTCGAACTCCTGACCTCAAGTGATCCACCTGCCTTGGCCTCCCAAAGTGCTGGAATTACAGGTGTGAGCTCCCGCACCCGATCTATATATATTCTTAATGGTTTCTAATTATATGCTTCAAGGACAAAGATTCAGTTGGCCTAATGGACCTTCATGGTCAGTATCTGTGGCTAAAGAAGACACATCTTGTTTACCAGAGCTTTGGGGTTGAATTCTAACAGCAAATGATATGTGGTAATAAGATTGCTGTTTTTCTTGAAGATGAAAGTACACAGTATGATGATAGCTAATTAAATGCCACTTATTTAGCACTTGTGATTCACATGGTGGACAAAGGATTTTATATGCATATCTCATTTAATCCTCACAACAACCCATTGTGCACATGCATATATATATGTGTGTGTGTGTGTGTGTGTGTGTGTGTGTGTGTGTGTGTGTGTGTGTGTGTATATATATATGTAGTATAAAAATCACCATTTTGCACATATGGAAACAATACCAAAGGCTAAGTAATTTGTACTAACTCAGAGGATAAGTAAGAAGTCATACAATTCCTAAATGGGAAATCTGGAATTTAAATACATGTTTGACTCTTAATGAGTGTGGTAGTCTGCTTCTTATAGGGACATAAAATAGCAAACCTGAACAATTATTAGCCAGAATGTTTTGAAATATTAATTTCTAAATACACATTATTTCAACACCTATTTAATTTTCTTTTCAATGTTATTTTAGTTAACTTTTGAAATGTAACAGTATGAATCTCCATATAAATGGGAATATAAATTAATTTAATTGTGTGGTGGTGTTTGTTGTTTTTTTTAATTTTCCCCAGTAAAGTCTCTAAATGTTACAGGCACCAACTAGGCCCATGGGCAATTTGTTGATTGGTTTGAATATTTCTAATAATAATGTTGTTTTTGATATTTAAGAGACAATATCAACTGCACTTAATTGCCAACTAGCAGTTGCAGAGAATTTTCAAAGATGCCAAATCATAAAAGAAAGCCTTTTTAAAAAAGCGTATTAAATGCAATGAAACTGAGTAATGTAGAAGATAAAGAGGTAATTACCTGAAATGTCTGTTTCTAAAATAAAAAGTAGGATTTTAATTCTAAACTACAAAAATGATGCAGACTATCTGTAAAGTGGCCTTTTAGTTCCATTAATGTAATTACACATTTCATACACCCTCACATTGTCAGGTATTCTTTCAGAAAGATCATATTATTCAGAGGGGCTTTCGAATCAGCAAAACACTTTAAATTGTATGCACATTATGTAATAGGAATTTTGTCTTTTTATGGACCATAATATAGCCTTCTTATTGTTTACTTCTCTCTAGTTAGGTTTCTACATTTCAGTATTGAATTTTTTTTTTAAGTTTTAAGTTCAGGGGTACATGTGCAGGTTTGTTATGTAGGTAAATTACGTGTAATGGAGGTTTGGTGTACAGATTGTTTCAGCACCCAGGTAATCAGCATAGTACCCAGTAGGTAGTTTTTCCATCTTCTCTCTTCTCCCAACATCTACCTTTAAGTAGGCTCCAGTGTCTGTTGTTTCCTTCCTTGCATCCATGCCTTCTCAATGTTTAGCTCTCACTTACAAGTGAGAATATGTGGTATTTGGTTTTCTGTTCCTGTGTTAGTTTGCTTAGAATAATGGCCTCCAGCTCCATCCATGTTGCTGCAAAGGACATGATCTCATTCTTTTTTATGACTGCATAATATTCCATGGTGTATACGTACCACATTTTCTTTATCCAGTCTACCACTTATAGGCATTTAAGTTGATTCCATGTCTTTGCTATTGTGAATAGTACTGCAATGAACATATGCATGCCAGTGTCTTTATGGTAGAATGATTTCTAATACTTTAGGTCTATGTAATGGGGTTGCTGGGTCAAATGATAATACTGTTTTAAGTTCTTTGAGAAATTGCCAAACTGATTTCCACAATGACTGAACTAATTTGCATTGCCACCTGCAGTAGTGTATCAGCATTCCCTTTTCTCTGTAACCTCTCCATTATCTATTATTTTTTACTTTTTAATCATAGTCATTCTGACTGGTGTGAGAGAGTATCTCATTGTGGTTTTAACTTGCATTTGCCTAATGAGTAGTGATTTTGAATACTTTTTTATAAGCTTGTTGGTCACATGTATGTCTTCTTTTGAAATGTGTCTGTTCATGTATTTTCCCACTTTTTTTATGGGGTTGTTTGTTTTTTGCATGTTAAGTTGTTTAAGTTTGTTGTAGATTCTGGATAGTAGACCTTTGTCAGATGCATAGTTTGCAAAATGTTTTTTCTATCCTGTGGGGTGTCTTTGTTGATAGTTTCCATTGCTGTCTAGGAGCTTTTTTGTTTAATTAGGTCTCGTTTGTCAATTTTTGGTTCCATTGGAATTGCTTTTGGTGTCTTTGTCATGAAATATTTGCCAGGGCCTACGTCCAGAATGTTATTTCTTAGATTATCTTCCAGGGTTTTTATCATTTTAGGTTTTACATTTAAGTCTTTAATCCATCTTCAGTTGGATTTGAGTTGATTTTTGTACATGGTATAAGAAAAGTGTCTAGTTTCAATGTTTTACATATGGCTAGCCAGTTATCCCAGCATCGTTTATTGAATATGGTCTTTTCCTGGTGCTTGTTTTTATTGACTTTGTCAAATATCAGATAATTGTAGGTATGCAGCTTTATTTCTGGGCTCCGTATTCAGTTCCATTTGTCTATACGCCTGTTTTTGCACCAGTATCATGATGTTTTGGTTATTGTAGTAGCCTTGTAGTATAGTTTGAAGTTGGGTAATGTGACTTCAAACTATACTACAAACAATACAATAGCTTTGTTCTTTTTGCTTAGGATTTGGCTGGCTGCTGGGCTCTTTTTTTGGTTTCATATGAATTTTAGAATAGGTTTTTCTAATTCGGTGAAAAACATCATTGTTAGTTTGATAGGAATAACATTGAATGTGTAAATTGCTCTGGGCAATATGACTATTTTTACAATATTGATTCTTTCTATCCATGAGTATGAAATATTTTTCTACTTGTTGGTGTCATTGCTAATTTCAATGAGAAGTGTTTTGTAATTCTCTTTGTAGAGCTCTTTTACCTCCCTGGTAATAAAATATCCTCTTTTTCATTTCTGATTGCATTTATGTGGACCTTCTCTTTTTCTTTTATAAGTCTAGTTTGCAGTCTATTTACCTTATTTATTCTTTTGGAAAACCAACTTCTAGTTTCACTGATCTTTTGTATGATTTTTGGAATCTCTGTTTCCTTCAGTTCAGAACTGATTTTTGTTATTTCTGGTCTTTTGTTAACTTTGTGATTGATTTGCTCTTGTTTCTCTAGTTTTCCTAGTTTTTTTTTTTTTTTTTTTTTTTTTTTTTTTTTATTATTTTTTTTTTTTTTCTGACTATTGTGAATGAAATTGCAATCTTGATTTGGCTCTCACCTTGGACATTGTTGTGTATAGAAATGCTACTGATATTCGTACATTGATTTTGTATCCTGAAACTTTGCTGAGGTTATTTATCAGCTTTAGGAATATGGGGCAGAGACTATGTGGGGTCTTCTAAGTATAGAATCACATCATCTGCAAACAGGGATAGTTTGACTCCTCTCCTCCTATTTGGATCCCTTTTATTTCTCTCTGTGTCCTGACTGCTCTGGCTAGGACTTCCAGTACTATGTTTAATAAGAGTGCTAAGAGTAGGCATCCTTGTCATCTTCTAGTTCTCGAAAGGAATGCTTCCAGCTTTTACCTATTCAATATGATGTTGGTGTGGTTTTGTCATAGATGGCTCTTGTCATTTTGAGGTATAGTCATTCAATGCCTAGTTTGTTGAGAGTTTTTAACATGAAGGGATATTGAATTTTATCAAAAGCCTTTTCTAAGTCTATTGAGATGATCATGTGGTTTTTTTAGTTTTCTTTATATGATGAATCATGTTTATTGATTTGCGTATAGTGAACCAACCTTACATTTCAAATATAAAGTCTGCTTGATTGTGTTGGACTTGGTTTTGATGTGCTCCTGAATTTGTTTTGCTAGTATTTTGCTGTGGATTTTTGCATCTATGTTCATCGAGGATATTGGCCTGGATTTTCTTTTTTTGTTGTGTCTCTGCCAGGTTTTGATATCAGGATGATGCCTGCCTCACAGAATGACATAGAGAGGAGTTTCTCTTCCTTAGTTTGTAAAAGTAGTTTTAGTAGGAATTGTACCAGCTCTTATTTATGTGAATCCATCCAGTCCTGGGCATGTTCTGGTTAATAGGAATATTAGTCCGTTCTCATGCTGCTAATAAAGACATACCTGAGACTGGGTAATTTATAAAGGAAA